ATACATTCAGAACACACTTGTATTAACTATATTATTAATGCAATGGATGATGTTGTTGCTTGTTTTAGTATTGTGCATTATTATGATATTGAACATGACGTCCTCCGCCCCCGAACGTTTCCGCCGTTCCGGTTTGTGGGTGTGACAGATTGGTATATGCGCTTTGTTTATAGTGAATTGAGTATATCAACCCATAAAAGATACACAACTATAAACACATCGGGATTAAAACACTCTGACCAAGAGTTACTACTTTTAAAATAATAAAATATTTTAGCAAAGTATTCATACTAGGATCAGTGTCATACTAGAACAGAACAAAAGTATTGCGGTCGTTGGATAGCACAAGTAGGCTTGGGGACATATAATCAGATCTGGGAGTGATATAGCCTGATCAACTATATCTTTCCGAGAAGTGATTAGCATGTGCCTAGGAATGGTTGTGGTGTTGCAGCGAGTCTAAAAACTTACCAACTCTACTACAATGAAAACTTTAGAACATAACATAAACTTAAAGTACTATAGGAGTATTTTGTGATACTATAATTACTTGCGTGAAAACTAAAAGGTCTTTATTAGTAGGTCAATAGTTGCTGAGTGGATATGCTAAGGTTATAGGTGACTAAGGTGTCATAGACTTAGAATCTGTGATCTTTGCTTTACTTCCTGTTCCTTGTTTGGTTGTGGACTTAGAGTTAGGGTTACTGTTAACATGTTGCCGCGCGCATATTAAGAAATAAATTATCACTGCTGGTTGCACTAAAAATATAGCACAGGGAAACAGGGTCGAATTGTGACAACCCGAAACATCTACCTTGTACATCTAGTCAATGTTAAACTCGTTTCTATTAACTTCTAGCACTGTTTAAGGGTTCATTTAAGCGTTCTAAGCTTGAGTTCAACCAAGGTGGAGATTAGGAATGAGTCAGCAAGTCGTATAGTGACAAAATCAGGCCATACACCCCTTTTGGAGGAGTGTGCGGCTACACACATGGTGTACGGCCATCCACACCCCTCAGGACCACACACCCACCCCTATATAAAGGGTAGACCCCTTTCCTTTCATTCCTTTCACTCCTTGGCCGCACACTACTTCTTCTCTCTCAAGTTCTTCAACCGTGAACCCTCCAAAGCTTCAAGAACATGAGTAATTCATCCTCTAACTTGATATCCTTGAAAGACCACTCTATCTAAGCCTTGAGACTGCAATATTCGTTATGTTCTTCATGTTTAGAAGAGAGTGCGGCCGCACACCCCCATAAGATGGCCGCACACTCCTAAAAGACCCTCCAAAGTGAGAGTTTGACCCCCATCTTCAAGTTGGACATGACCCTAGCCTTATTGCATCTTAAAGTCGACCTTTTGGGCATAAACATGAAGGGTGTATGGCCGCACACCCCCTATGTATGGCCGCACACACACCCTACGGCCGCAAACCCACTTCCATGGCCCTTATTGACCTCAAACTTGCACCACAACTAAGCATGGACCTAGAACACTTCATGGATTCTAGTGTGAACCTTGAAAAAACCTCAAAGACACCTTCCATCATGAGTGTACGGCCACACACCTCATGGGCCGCACACCCATGGCCGCACACACTTATAAGGTGGCCATACACCTCCTTCACTCAATCACATGTGATTTTGTCACTTAGTTCAAGTGTTTCCAAGTCTTTAGAGTGGTTTCTTATCATATCTAGTAGTGAAATACCTTCATTTGACTCATATATGTGTTATTACATGTTGAATACGATCTAGTTGTGTTCGAGGTTTCATTAGATACTCAGCATCTCATACCGACCTT